ATCCAACTTGAAAATCATTTGGAGAGGGAGGGAGCGAGGGAGGGGGGGAGGGTTGGGGTGTGGGGCGCAATCACCACTACAGTCCGCGACAGGATGTCATGTAAAGCTCGCACCAGTAAACGAAGCACAGAAAAAACCCCGAGTTTATCAACACATAGTCTTACCAAAACATCACTACTACAGATCACCTGTGGGATCCCGTAAGTTCCATGCTTATTCAGAGGGGACAAAGCCATTACCCGGATATGGTAAAGCAAAGACAGGACACCTTTGCTGGGGCAATTTTTTGCAAAATACGACTCCTTTTGAACTCGCTCTTCTAGCACGACACGCCTCCCATCCCACGTACCTTCCCTCTCAATTGTCCAAACTTCTAACCACTACTCCAGAGTTTTTTTTTTCAAAATTCCCGTGTATCCGCTAATGAACTGCCATCGAGCGCAAAAAGTGAGGCTAAGTTTATACTTTGTGGCAGCGTCCACTAGCTACAATCAACGTCCGTCAGCGTCAGCGACTAGGAAAGAACTGATATCGATCTAGCGTCCAGTAGCGTCTACCAGCGCTCACTAGCGTCCGCCAGCGACCATCAGCGTCTCGAGGGACTAGGAAAGTGTGGATATCGATCTAGCGTCTACCAGCGTCCACCAGCGATCAGGAGTAGAGAGTATGGGGAAGTAGGAGAGAAGCAGACTGCTGGTTGAGTATGGGAACTAGAGGGGAGAAGACAGTCTGCCACAGTCCTCTACCATACTTCTGATCGCTGGTAGACGCTAGATCGATATCCATACTTCCTAGTCTATCCAAACGCTGAACGTCGCTGGCGGACGCTGGTGGGCGTCGGCGGACGCTGGTGGGCGCCGGTAGACGCTGTTGGACGCTAGATCGATAGCTATTCTTTCCATCGCTGGATTAGACGTCGTGAAATTGTGTGTGTAACCGCACCATACCAAGACACAATACCGTACTCCTTGTCGCTGGAGGACGCTGCAGCAAAATGTGAACACAGCTAGAGAGGACGTAGTATACAACCATTCAAAACAAACTGGTAAAATCAGCAACAGAAAACATCAATGCGAAGAATATGCCTCCATCCTTCCAGCGACCAAAAATGACCCCTTTCGCTGGGAAACCCCAACTCTGGTGCAAGGAGGAGGCAGCGTTAACCCTTTTGGACTATTCTAGCGTAAGGACATTGAAGAACACAGAAATATGTGACCTAAAGAAAAAGCAGAACCTAAAGAAATGGTGACATGCGTTGAAGAGATATTTCCTCTCTGTCCCAGCATATAACTCACTTTTCCTTGCTTTCATGTCAGTGCAGCTCATTTCGGCATGAGCGACATCACGTCGAAGAGGAAAACATTTCCAGCACAACTCTTCACACCCCCTCCCCTCTCCCCTACTGCTCCTCCATAGGAACTCCATGGGGACTCTCTAACGAAGATATGTTCGGAATTTGCTACTACTTCTATTTGAAATGCACAAATCTGTTTATTTCTCTCCAAATAAGGTTATAAACATTGAAATTCTAGGAAAAGTACAGGAAAAAAACTCAGTTACGCTACGCTAAACTTCTTCCTATTCACGATCAATAAATGATGATGATATGGGAAAGTATTACAGAACTACTGACTACAGTAAGCAGGCAACAGACACATGACATGATCGATGGGGGCATTGGACCGAATTTCAGTCTCACAGGAAAAAGTATCGTTTTCGCGATCAGTAACTCTCCCCGTGAGATCGCTATCGTCCACAAAAAACCTGGCATGCGTGGGAAGGAAACGACCCCACTCCGGTTCCCCAGAACCAAAGCAGGGAACACTCACTGATCTTCCCATGTGGAATTTTTTACCTACACGCAATATACACATAACAACGTTGATAAGGCGATCTACTTTTACAAAGCAGCAAAAATACCTTAGAGGGGGTAATTGAGCCCCCTCCTATAGAAGCAAGCGCTATCGAGTAGACAGAGTATCCACTAACGAGTACCGGTAGGAATCCTACGAACACATCACCGGGAACTACTACCACAGATTTCAGTCCGCTCCTTCATCAAAAGGAGCATACACGACTCGAAAGTCTTTTGGCACTAATGGTGCATTTGCAGACGTCGTGTGTGACCATAACCAGTAACTCAAATACTTCGCACATAGTTATTGTAACTCAAGAAGTTCGCAGTACACCCAAAGGCAATGCTGGCCTGGAATCGCGTACGTACAGCAAAGCGAGCAAGCAGAAAAGCCCGTAGGTGTCACCAGAGCAGAGAGTACCCGAGTGGAGAAGCTGAATAAACAGCGGTGAAAATCACTAGAAGTTTAAAGCCATTGAAATAGAAGAAAGTGACCAGATTATTTTACATCCATGGAAAAATTGAGAAATTGGACGACAAACTTCGAAAAGAACGTGAAGGCGAGGAGGAAGGGGGGTTGGGAAATCTTGGAAGGCGGGCTGTCGTTATCGAAGATCGATGATTTTGTCTTCGACAAAGTAATCCGGGACGAAAGTTTCTTTCTTTGCCTGACAATAGCACAGCCGCACTCTCAACTTCTCTTTGTCGTCCCAGATCTGAAACATAAAGATCAATCGCTTGCAAAGTGATCGATTTCACTGACATTTTATGATTGATGGTTAAAAGTGAAGCGTTTAAACTCGAAACGCTTTCGCAGAAAAACCTGCAACTTCCACGGGCCCTGCACCAGCTACAGGCAAGCGCTCGAAAACTCCTCTTTCGCCCTTTTTCCCCTACTGCCCACCCTGGTGGTCCGATAACATCACTGAGCGGCACAGTTCGGTGACGGGTGGGCATTTTGCACTTTCTTCATCACTACTTCCGGTTTACAAGTCTCACTCTGGTGAAACTTGTGAACTCTTGTGAAGCTGGAGCAAGCTCGTCTAGCCACCATGGTAAAACGTGTCAACTCAAGAAAAGGCTATCTAGATGGGTCGACACATCGATGGGAAGCAAAATGCCCCCCCCCCCCCTTCGCCAAACTGCGTCTCACTAAGCGTTACAGAGGTTTCGAAGAAGCTGGTCAATCCTATCACAGACCCGAACACCTGAATCGACACGGCGTAAGTCCCTCGCTATAATTGAAGATTTCTAGAATCTAGAAAATTCTAGGTTCCACTATATCCCCTACGGACAACGGAAGCGCATGCTGCCTGGGGGGAGGGGCTGAGGACGGGATGTCACTTCGTTACTTTTTTAGAAGACAGGTCCCACGACCACGTGTCATGGATAGTTGCTGTTCAGTTATCAACCAGTAGCTGATAAGTGATTCCCAAAGAAAAAATAATCAAAAAGTCCCCAAGAACACCATGAACAAATTCGCTCTCTGACAGCGGCACCGCCCTGCGGTATCTGTGCAACCGTTGGCTCACAAATCGCTTTTTGGCGCGCTGCCTAACCATACACCCACTCTCTTACTATCCTGTACTCTCTCGCAACACTAGCGTCAGGCGTCGATCGATACCCGCCTACGACTGGTTCCCGTCTACACCATTAGAACCTGCAAAGAACGCCAACTCACGTCATCAAGAAGTCTGGACGCTACCTAATAATACAAGAGAAAACGTTCTAAAAACGCTGAGCGTTGATTTGTTGCTTCTTCTTTTGCTAATCATAAGCGACGATTTTAATTAACGGAATTAAAAATGCAAACTGGTTTCAAGACCGGTTTTAAGCTCTAGACTTGAAAGAGTGTCAAACTATAACACCATGAACACTACGCCACAGTAAATTATTCAGAAACGGCAGACATACCAAAAATCAGATGGCTGCAGCTGGTTTCATACTGGAGCAAAACATTGCTAAGCATGCATGACTTCTTGAATGGGGTTAGGAATGGATTCAAACGAGTCTGGACTTTGGTTCGAAAAACAAAAGCAGTTTTCCAAGAGATAGGCCACACGGACAAAGCAGATTATTGGAGCTAAAGAATAAGCTCGTAGTTCCCAGGTCCAAAACAAGGGTGAGGACTAAATTTTTCGCAATAAGGGCAGCCACTCAGTTTTCCAAATTGATGAAATCATCCACGCTACCGAAAAATATTGCTCAGTTCAAAAATCTCTTGCACCATCATTTCAAGTGAGGCTTTTTTCTTTACTTATTTCTCTTAGTATCGGCATCGGAGGCCACTAAGCTAACTTTCAGTTTTGTACTATGCTCGCTATGTTGTATTGTTTTTTTTTTTTTTTTTTCTGTTGTTGTATCTCAAGTGTTGTGGTGGCCATT